TTCAAAGCCATCACTGACATGCATGTAGATGGGTAACTTACCATCAGTTTACTCCCACACCCCAAATCAGTGACTTCTCTAGGACTGAATAGTCAGACTGTCTCTCAGGTCCTTCAGGAACTGGTCCCAGAAGAACAGGCCAGAAAATCTTGCCATTTTTGACAGGTTGTAGTGAAAGCAATGGAGATCATGGATGCCTAGCCATGCTCATGGTCTTGATCACAATGCCCCAGTACTATGTCAACAGCCTTTTGCCAGTGGAGTGTGGCTCCATTCCCTTGGTTCTTGTTGAAGCATCAGCAGTAGGAAATGTTGTTTAGTAATTACAGGCCTGGCAGCAGGAATCCCTGTCCCACATTCCCAACCTGCCAAGGGCTCTGATCAGAGGTTCAGTGTGGAGCATGCAGGTCCAACACCTCCTGTCCTTCTGGGGACCTTCCTGAGCTTCCCACTGGTTATCAGACAGAGGTAAAAGAGAATCAGTGTTGACACCCATCAAACCTCCCTCTGGAGTTATCAGTATCTGAAGGGGGCCCACAAGGATGCGGGGAAGGGACTTTTCATTAGGGACTGTAGTGATAGGACAAGAGGTAATGGGCTAAAACTTAAACAGAGGAAGTTTAGACTAGATAATAAGGAAGAAGTTCTTTACTGTGAGGGTGGTGAGGCACTGGAATGGGTTGCTCAGGGAACTGGTGAATGCTCCGTCCCTGGCAGTGTTCAAGGCCAGGTTGGACAGAGCCTTGGGTGACATGGTTTAGTGGGAGGTGTTCCTGCCCATGGCAGGGGAGTTGGAACCTGATGATCTTAAGGTCCTTTCCAACCCTAACTATTCTATGATTCTATGAGTTATTCTGGCCCTATTTCCAGCCATTTGACCAAGGAATGTACCTTATACCTCCCCTCAGCAAGCAGACACCTCCCAAGGGAAACCATGGGTCACTCTTCCATCCTTGAGGACAAAGCCAAGCCCACCTATCTTTCTGGAGAGGCCCAGATGAAAACTGTTAGGCTTGCATGATAAGAGCAAGTGTCCACCTGAATGCACTTCCCAGAGCATCCAGGAATTCACTATGGAGGGATTCAAATCCATATTTTTCACCCCACAAAAGAGAATCTTACCTTAAGAGTATCTTAAGTATTTTAAGAGACCTTAAGAGTATCCCAGAGCACATACACCTCTGAATACCTTTCAGGTGGTCATGCTTCAGCTAAAACATAACTTCCAGTGACATTTCACCAGTGCCCCAGGGCTCCCAGATGCAGTACTCCACATGGTGACAATTGCATCGCTGTGGCTGGAATAGTGGTTGGTTAGTTGAAAACACCCAAACTGATTTGCTTAAGTATTACTAAACCACCATATACACTCAGAGTAAGCAAACACCTTCAGACCAGGGATGTAGCAGATGCACACATACTGCAACATAATAGTGAGCTACAATGCAACGAACCAAAACTATTACTGCATTTTTGGTGAATGCAGTATGCTTCACTGACAGCCCTTGAAACAACTACAGAAATAGACTAACAGACAAAGAGAAAAGGGAGGAAATTACATGAAAGGGGCAATCTGCACCAATCCTAATGAGCAGACAAAGAAAGGCAAGCAATACTGACAATTATTTTGGGGTTATCTAAGGACACTAGAAACAGATCGGATTATTAAAACTTCATTATGATGGAGACCTCAGTAATGACTGTGAACAGAAGGATTTCTGGGCCAGTCTAGGATGATTAATTGTTTATGAAGCCTCCAGAAACTCAAGAGAGTCCATGCAGCACAAAAGGAAATTCAGATTCCCCACAGCACCATGAGCATATGCTTTACATCCTGGCAGTACAACAGCTAAGCGAGCTCGCTTTATTTGTGTAGCCCCTGGGGTGCTGGGAAAGATGGCAGGCAAGGGGTTAAGTAGTGGCACTGTGGTTTCTGGAAGGGAAAAGCACGCCTCATTAGCTGGCTGGAATTCATCAAGGGTATGAACACCAGGGTGGGCATGGGAAAGGCAGCAAACACCATATTACCGAGATTTTCAGGGTACATCGAACACAGGTCTGCAGAAGAGGTCAGTGCTGATGGACCGGATGACAGCAGGAGGTGAAAACAGCCTGGAAAAGTCAGGGGCAATGGGACCAAGTAGGAGACCATAGCAGGTATCTAACGGGAACTACCTACTTCTCCGCAGTGTCCCTATACACAACAGTGACTTCTGTAATCAGCCGCATCTGTCCCACCAGACAGGAGGGTAACAAATGTGTGGTTGACTCTTCAAAAGTCCCACGAGTATGGCCCTTAATTTTCCAACCCATCACATTCATTTACAAATTTTCATACCAACGATGGTACGAGTCATCAAACCGTAATTTAACAACTGTGGGTACTAACCCAAGTATCTTGTAATTTGTAGAGGTATGAAAGTGTCCAGGTATGTACCACAGGCATTTCACTTCCCAAGGCTCACCTGCCACAAGCATACAGCCCAGCAGAAAGTACATGGCAACTGCAATGATACTCCTTAAATACAGTATCGTGTATTTGTAGCATGTTTAAACTGTTTGTAGCATGCTTAAAATCAGTTTTGCAAGCTATCTCCCAAGACACAGCACTCTAAATCTGAAAACATGTTGTCCCTTAATCACCAAGGTTGAGGGACTGTATCTGTTTCCCCTTATTACCAACTGGTCGAGCAGCTCAGAGTCCAAGATTGCTCTGTTATCCTCTGTTATATAATTATAAAAGGAAACCAAGGCATAAAGAATAGATTCACATGGGAAATAACCTCAGCATCTTTTTATCCAAAAGGTTTCTGATTAGGAAATTCATTCATGAAACAGAAAAGTTGATTTCAACCCTTTATCTGTTTTGGGGAATCTGAACAGTGTTTTTCTGGAAACAGTATTTCACTTCAATATAAAAAATTAAATAAGCACGGAAGTAAGAGAGCAGATCTATGTGTAACCTCTTACAAGAGGGATTCACATTAGGCTCGTAGAAAAGCATTTACTCTCTGCTCCCTGGCTCCATGAGTGTTTAATTGCTTCATATGACACAGTGAGTACAACACTAAAGAGTAAAACCAGGCAGATCTCTCTGTATGCTTAAGATTCTCTTTTGTGGGGTGAAAATTATGGATTTGAATCCCTCCCATAGTGAATCCAGCTCTTCTATTGGGTTTGCTCTTTTTTGTTTTTTTATATAGAATTAACAGCTTCTGCCCCACGAATCTCAATTGTTTTTCCCCAGCTAAATTATTGAGCACTTTTGGGACAAATCCAGACATAGTTGCAGAATGACTGAAAGTCTTTTACTTACACTAGCTCAAAGGATTGTATTTTTTCTTTAGTCAAAGCCTTTTTAGAAATGCATTGCCCTAAGACAAAAGGGGCTAGAAGGAGCATAAATGTATTGCATGTGCTGTGAAGACAGTGAGTCTGCTTTTGTTGCATCTTGTTACCTAGGGCAAGGCTGAGCTGGGCTTGTCTGCTCAACTCTGAAAAGCAGTGCTCACAACTTTTATATTGCAAGTTTCAGCTGGAAGATTTACAGCAGCATTAGCAATGCTAAGGGAGGATTGTTTATCCATTTGAAACTCAGGTTCAGCTGTGATTTACTCTTCAAGCAGGTATTTTAATCCTTCGGTTGTATATCAGGTATTCTCAGACTTGCCATAGTTACTCTTTCCTCTGGGCAAAAGAGTTCGTTTGGGAAAATCACATACATAAAACTGTTTGTAGCATGTTTAAAATCAGTTTTGCAAGCTATCTCCCAAGACACAGCACTCTAAATCTGAAAACTTGCTGTCCCTTAATCACCAAGGTTGAGGGACTGTATCTTGTCATAGCAAAAACACACGGCCAACAAAACTGACCCTGCTGACCTCATCCTGTCATTTTGCTCCTTGATACCCACAGAGAGCGCATTTGACATTCCAGCTAAAGCACAGCACCTGTCAACGCCTCCAGCTTTTGGGATCTGCCTCCTGCTATGTTTCTAAATATCAGCTGCAAAATTACATCCCAGGTTAATACTGAGAATTTCCATTTGCACCTTCATGGGACCAGGACCAGGACTCGCTCTGCAGTACTAGTATTTCTTTCCCAGGTGAAACCACCTCTTACCAACCTCTCACTTTATCTCTGACATTACCAGTAACACCAGTTGCAGTTCCTTAACTTTGCTCTCACTCTGCCAGAGCTGGAAGAAGTACTTGTGAACACTTCAAATGTAGCTTTCCTCAGCCAGAGAAAGAGCCCCACAGTGACCCCAAAGAGTGCCAAGAAGGCCTTTGGTGTCAGAGATCTGTCCCACCATGCAGCTGTTTGGCACAGCACATGAGCCCTCGTGACCCCACTCTAACACCTTCAGTCATCTAGTGGGCAGGTCCACCCATCTTCATCTCTCCTTGAAGCTAAGAGAAGCTCTCAGCATTCAGAGCTCTTGGTCATTATTTGCTTTGCTAGCACTCATTTAGTGACCTCTTAAGACCTAAGTTTGCCTAAGTAACAGAGGAGAGCATCTCAAATCCTTGCAGGCAACGTCATACAGACTTGGAAAACACCAAGTTTTATGACTGATGTGAACTGGTGCTGGAAGTGAGTAGGTGGTGATATCCCATTGAATACTCCATGGGAAAACTGAAGGGGCACTAAAATATATTTTACCTTTTTTCCATGTGTTTTTTTGGTTCATTTAACATTTGCTTCTGGCTCAGGTATGATTTGGGGAAAGACTCAAAGCATGAAATCACTGGAACTCTTTTCCTTGGTGCAGGTAAGCTTTGGAATGGCTCCTTGAGAACCAACACATTGCTCAGTTGCTCCTGCCTATGAATATGGAAGAAGCAGACTGATGGGCTGCAGACAAAGAAAAAAGTGCCTCCAGTTTCCTGCATGCAGAAGACATCTGCCCTGTTTGCTTTGCAGAGGTGTGCTGCTCTTCCAAAGCATCTCCCTTAAGCAACACCTATGCCAAAAGTGAAAATGCTAATTCAAATGTATTGAAGCAAACCAGAGTTTATTTAGCATTTATTACTCATTCTGTTGTCAAATGTGGTTTCTTCTGTCTCCATTTTCCTCTGGTAAACATAGAACTTTTTTATTATTATTTTTTAATAAAATATATAAAATATTGTGCATTGCTATCCATAGGAAACTGTAGTTTAACAACAAGAAAAAAGAATAAGGCACATTCCTGTGCAGCATCTTCAAATATATATATATATATTTAAAACAAAAAGAAAACCCTTTTCAACCTCTTTGAGGTTGTTAACGTCTCACCAGTCACTGACACATTTCCTGTATTACCATAATTTCACTATTGGAGGTGGGTTGGGTGGTCTTTGACAGGGGCCAGCGGGGAGGACAGATTCAAAAAAATACTAGGATTTTATCCCTGAGGTGTCAGTAAAAAAAACTAAATGTTCCCCTTAAAAGGAAGATGAAAAGACAGCCATAAATAACTGAATACACTATGGCAAACATCCAAGCACCGAGATGATTTCATGATGGAAGAATCCCCCTCCCCCCAGTTCCCTAGTTCTTAACAAGTCATATTTGCCGTTGGGTTTTAATTAGGTTAATCTCATGGCTTCTGAAGTCACAAGACAATCAGTTGGGATGAACCTCCCATTCCCTTCCCAAATCACCTTTCCAGATTTGTCGTTTTGTTCACAGTTCTCCCACAGTCCTCAGGAAAGGGAAACAAAAAAACCCTAAATGAACACCAAATCCTGGATGACTTCTCTCCCCAGCCAAGAAAGGAGTACTTGTACCGCAGCATGCCAAACTCCACGTCCCACATAAGAGGACTGTGACTGTCACCTTCCTGCCTGCTATTAACATATGAAGTTGGCAACCACCTCTGTTGAAACCAGAAAGTGTCTGTGAAGAGGGATGATTGCAATATGTCAGGGAGAAGGAGATGGGGAAAGCTTTATTGCTGTCCATCCACACTGCTCAAGTAGCACACCCAAAAGGAAAAGAGGAGACACCCATGTAAAATTCCTTCCCTCCCTCTCCTTTATCTTGTGTGGAGGAGCCCCAGGGTGCCGGGCAGGATGGTTGGACTCCCCATCGCTTAGTAGTAACGGTTGAGGCTCCTGGTGCCTGGGATGTCCGGCTGGCCGTTCATCCAGATCTCCCGGATGATGCGCTCCCGCTCCTCCAGCCGCTGGGCTCGCTCCAGCTCCTCTGCTGAAGTGAAGACGTTCATGTTCAAAGTCCTCTCGAACCTGCGGTGCCTGCGGGCAGACAGGTCTGAAGTGGTGTCTGAATCGTCATCGCTGTCGCTGCTGTCACTGTCGCTCTCCCGCTCACGAGGAGGCTTCTTCGTGGAGGAGCGTTTGCAGTCAGTTCGGCAGGACACCCTTAGCACCAGGGCCAGCAGGGTCAAGACAAGTCCAATGCACACTCCAGAGACAAAATACAGAGCAGCCCGCTCAGGGTTTTCTGAAAGGAGAAACGAAATGATTGTCAAGATCATCCCGTAAAAGAACAAAATATACACAGGTCCTCTGTGCACCTACCAGCCATGGTCTCTGGAGGGGCAGTTTCTAATGGCTGCTTTTACTTCCATGCCCTCCCTTGACTCTTTCCCCCAGGGAAATCAGGAAGGGGAATTTAAATGGTGGATGTGCTGCCAAGGCATTTAGCCCACATGCAGAATGTGGGTTCACTGCAGTCACATCTTGGAGTTGTCTGGAAAGGGAAGGAGCAGCTGCAGAATTAAATGCTAATTCCAGTGGCTGAGCGAGTGGGGTTGACACCAGGGTGCTGCACACCCAGCAGCACCTAAGTGCCTCTTGCTGTCACATCCATTATCATATACCAGGAATAAAGATGACTACAAAGCTTTATATGCTCTGTGCCATGGCCCAGTTAAAATGGGAAGCCTTGCAGCATGAAAAAATGCATATTATTTATTCATAGGTTTCATTTGCTTATCTAAGGCAAGTGTGCTGGCTTTCTGCCCAGACCACCAAAATGTGTATCTGTGCTACACAAGCATAGCTGGAGTCAGTGCACCAACAGGGTGAATCCTGCATAGCCACCTTTCAGAGCTGATAAAACAAGACTCCAAAGGATCCACAATGCCTTTTATAGCAAGCCATCTTGTTTATTTACTATCTTCTTGTTGTTGTTGTTGTTGTTTATGGGATTACTTAGAAGTGCAATTATGATAAACATCATCACTGCAATTACCCTGGGCTGAATCATCTTGGCTTGTAGGTATGCTGAACGGGTGAAGGTGAACCAAGAAAAAGTGTTAAGGCCAGCTCTGCTCCACTGTGTCTGCTGGGAGGCCTGAGTTCAAGGATGGAGTCAGTTCCTCAGATGAGTCTTATTCTGTTGAACTCAGTGGTGGATCTGTAACAGTTCCCACCAGCTGAGAGCCTAACATTTGGCCTCAAAAGATCTTTGTAACTAAAAGGCTATGCTCTACCATTTCTTCCCCTACTGTGCTTTTAGAAACTGCCTTCTCCAGCTGATTTCCTCACAGTAAAGGTTGCAGAAGATGAACTAGAAACCATTCGGAGATATGAAAAACTCAACAGAACAAGACCCTGCTCAAATTTCAAAGGTGGCTCTGAGTTTGAAGTTATCCGTGTTCTGAGTAAGGGGTTGGACCAGGTGACCTGTGGAGGCCTCTTCCAGACCAGATTATTCTTTGATTCTGTGATCAGAGCCCAAACACTGACTTGTGCACTGCTCAATGCAATGCCTAGGTCAATGCCTGGAGATGCTCATGGAACAGTTACAGAGATTTGTGCTCTTCACTTCCCTCCCAGTGAATCTCAAAGATGATTTACAAGCCAAGGTGAAGGAAGATGTTAGTCTAAAAACTGGGTAATAAGACATGAGATTTGCTAGAGTGGTTGGTGTGGATGGCATGGAGAAAAAAAAAAACGCTGAAGAGAGATTACAAAAGAGCAGAAAACTGCAGCAGATGCATTCAACAAGTCAAAAAAAAAAAAAAAAGAGGAGAAGAATGCAGCCGTAGTCTAAAAGTCAAGGGAGACTAGAGCCAGAGGCTTTAAGCTAAGATATTTTGACAAAAGTGAAACAGCAAAAATACAAAGGTAAAAGACAAGATAACAGAGCAGGCATGAAGGATGTGCCAATGGCTCTTGTAGCAGCCTGGATGAGTGAAAAACTGGCTCCAGTGAAGTTAATGGCGACTCTGAACTCAAGGGGCAGAACTCAGATTAGAACTGCAACCCTGTCTATGCAGTAGCAAAGCTGCTGCCCACCTGCAACCTATAGAGAAATAGCCTTAATTTCAGAGACTTGAAAACCTGGGGAAACACAGGATCGCTACCCAATAGTGTTTTTACCTCCATATGCAATATAACTCAAGACAGCAACTGCAAGACTCCCTTTGCAAATCGGTTTAAGGAGGGCTCTGAGAGCACCCAAAGTGTGGGAGAGTGAGAAGAATAAATGAGCAGGACTGATCTCTTTGTACTGAAAGACATTTGGTCCAGTCTGCCTCTACTCTGCCTGGCTGACAGGATGCCAGGCAGCATCCTGAGCACCACATTCCTGCACGCACATGGGCTTGATTTGGTTGCATTAGTTCCACTGCTCACTTTTAAAGCAATTCATATTAAAAAAAATAGATTGGAGTTGAGACACAGACACATGCAGTTTCCCTTCCCCTGTTTTTGTCCATGTCCTGCCTTGCCTTTCTCCAGCACACTCTTTTTTCCATGATACCGTACCCAGTTCATGAGCAAGACGCATCTCAATTGGTACTTAAGCAACCATTTTTCATCCCCTGCTTGTGCTTGTATGTACAGCCCTTCATTCAGTGCAATGGCTGTAATTGAATCTTTGGGCTGCAGTGGCACTTATGAGCTCCTACAGCTACTCTGTCAACATCTGAAACACTGTCTGGACTTCCTCACTGAGCTGTAACCCTACGTTCAACTGCAGTCTTGGCATTTATCATACACACAATCCACTTGCACAGCAGCATCTTTTTTACGTGCAGCAGAAAAAGCAAATTAAGCTAAAAACCATGGGCTCTGCTTTTTCTCAGTTGAAGTAGCCAAGTCAGCAATAGCCTAGATTTGGGGGGTTGAAAGTGATTTTGAGAGCTTGACCCATTGCATGTTCTACTTGCAGAGACCAAAAAGGGGCATGTTCTTCAGCAAAAACTTGAAGGTGGCTCAAATTCATCATACCAACACTAGAGCTACTAAAGTATGGACATCAGTAGCAGGAGTTAACATGATTTTAATATATATTCATGTGTGTGTGTACACCCATTAAGATATGGATTTTGGCCAGTGCAACTTTTTCTTCCACTGCTGTGGATGACAGCTCAGAACTGTTCAGTTTTTCTCCTAAGTTTCTAGCAGGATTCAGTTGCTGTCAATCTCTTTTGCTGGGGTTACCTTTCCCCTTCCTGGTGTTTCTGTTTCTGGACTGAGAGCATTGATGAAAATGTCACTTATTCAAGCCTGAATTTAATCCACGCAGACAAAAGATATATGCTCTTTATAACTCTCTATACAAAAGCCACCATTGTCTAGGTGCTTAAACTGCCCAAAAATTAGAAACACATTTTATTTTGTTTTTCCAACCAAACCAGCAGCAATTACAGAGCCTGTTTCCTGAGGGCTAACAATCTGCTGGGAGCATCAGCCCAGACTGCCATTAATTCCCCAGGAAATGCCCCAAGCCAAGGTTGTTATTGCTATTATAATAAATTGTTTCAATAAATAAAAAACAATCTAGGCATTAATGCTGCTGGCTTCCTGTGATAGCTTCATGCATTCAGAAACCTCAGTGGGGAGGAAAATTTCAGAGGGCCCCTGTAAAAGGTTCAGCATTAAGCACGGCCAGACAAACAGTAGGAGCAATATCTTCCAGGGGATTTACAGTTAGCCCCACAGGCTGCCGAAATCCCCTGGTAGAACAGAGGAAGCTCTCCAGGAGCCCTTTATTAATAAGGCTCAGGCCAAGCAGTCTAAAAGTTGGAATGATCTCCCCGGGGTTGCTTTTTTAGAAGCCCCTTGTTAATAACTTGGCACCAAGCTTTGCTTGTGGAAGAAGAAGGAAACAGGGATTTTGTCAAGGTTTCATTCCAACTACTTCAGCCTGAATACAACAAAAAACTTGAGTAAGTCCTTTGTCCAAAAGGAGGCACTGGAAGTGCTCTGATAGAGTTTGAACGTTTAATATTTATATAACCATGAGGGACAGTTCTGGTTTTGCTGGTAGACTGTGACTGCTAAGACAGTTCCAGCTGTCACTGAAACTGGTGAAGTCGTTCCAAACACTCAGACAGGTTTTGGAACAGCTCCATAACAAATAACAGGTCTGAGGTTTGTAGGCAGAGACTGTATCTAATGAAAAACCTAATTCTATAAAGTAAATCAGCTTTCAAATTAGGGGCATCTCTGAGTCTTTTGCAAGACTGAACTAAACATGACATTTGTTTGATCAACTGATAAATTTATTCCTTGACATTGTTCACTCTCCCTATTTCTGAGGAAACACTGTTTTCAAGGTTCTGGAAGCTGGGATAAGACTAACACCTAACTGGCTTTGACTCTTAACCATGATGATATCTTCAAACAGATTTGACAGTGAAAAACAGACTCCTGCAAAGAGGCTTTGCTCCCTTCTGTGCTGTGATTTTTCAGTCCTTAGTTGTCAATAGGAACGTTCCCATTATATGGGAACATCAGTCAAAAAGATGGTGGACATTAGCAATCTTTCGCTAACATTTGCACTTCTCCTTTCTGTGCACTGCAAGACTGTACACGTCCAAGTGACCAACCCTGAAGGTTCTTCATCTGCATCTGCCCACCCAAACCTACCATTCTGTGCAGAAAACGTGAACACTACTGAGAACAAAGGGGATCCCACTCTCCCCAGGCTAATAGACACTCCACTGCCAGGAGGCAGGAAAAGTAGTAGAGTGGGTCATTCTTTCAAGCACACACTTGACCCATGAAATAGCAAATCCCCTTAGCTTCTTTTTCCTGGAGTCTGAGGTTATGCACCACCCCCTGCTCCAATAGAAAAAAATATCTTTATATGTTGCTCCTGCCTGTTTACAGTTTTCTCTTGTAAAGTCCTGCTTTGAGCCAACTCATCAGCAGAGGGAAGCCCTTGAACTTCTTGCACTAATATTTCTCTTTGGCACCAAGGCTGTAGTCAGGAGCAGTGGGAAGATGTGTGAAACAGAACCAGCCTTCACTGGCCACCCAGTTTCCGGCCTCTCCTGAACCACTATAATGGAGATTGATCAACAGCTGCTGCGGCTTAGGCCACCTTCATGACCCAAACTCAAGTGAGAACAAAAATTTGCAATAGCTCTGCTGCTCAAAAGCTGCAACATAAAGAGGAATGGATTTGCTGTGCTCTAGTTTTATGCAAATGATATTTGTGTCCTGTGACACAGCTTGTCTTTGAACTCATAATCTAAAACCTCCCCATATCCACATGTATCAAAATAAATCATGCCAAATCCACCCTTTCCACTAAAAGCAAAGGCTAAATTACATGCAGCACATGAAGATGATTTAGGGCATCTGCTACCTCAATCCGTGGGGCAGCCATCAATTATTTTTGTAATAAATAACAAACTGAACATATAGATTGAGACGAAACCCTATCCAACAGCCACGGTTAAGTACACTGGAAAACATGAGCAACAAGCTCCTGAACCCTTTACTGGAAATCAAAGTTGTGAGGTCAGAGTTTTACATATTTGACGTCCAGAGGATGTGAACATATCACAATGAGACCACATCATGAGAGGGCAAGCAAACCCCACAGCACCAAGACAGTTAAAGCCATTCTTCTTTATTATTTGTGCTACAGTAAAATCTTGAGGCTCCTGCCAAGACTGACACCTTGTGAAGGGGATGAATCAAAGCCTTGTGCCCTACAAAATGAATGCAGGGTCTAAAAGTTCTGCTGTGGCCAATGGAAGCAAACTCCCACTGTCCCTGACCATAAATCCTACAACCTTCTGCTGCCCATTACTGTTCAGATGGGGAAAACAAGATTAACAGCATTTTATTTTATAGTAAGGTTGTGAATGCAGGTATTTTCATGTCAAAAAATGGCAACTGTAGGTAAGAGGAAGGAAGAAGTGTGATAAACAGAAGATTCCTTTAAAGTTTGCTTTTTCTAATCTTTTCTTAGAGAAGTCCATGCAAGAAAAACAAAAATCCTACTCAGCTAACTCTTGTGAAGAGCACTATTAATTCCACTTTAACTGCCTGCTTTTTAAAGGTGTCACAAAAAGATGGATTCTGATGCCACCATTAGACATGTAGAAGGGCAGAACTCTGGATTCACCATTCATGGTCCTTTTAGAAGGACCCTCCACTAAATGTGTAGAAACACTCTTACTAATCTACTCAGTGATTCCAAAATGCAAAATCCAAGTTAGTTATTTCAAATCCAAATATTTGCCTGTAAATCCAAATTCAGTGGTATCTCAGCAAGAACAAGAGCATAGCACCAAGAATGCACTAGTATTTAATGAATTACCAAGACTGAATGGCACACAGACATGAAAAGCTAGCTCATAAATATTTGAGTTTTAGGTATACAGACCCCTATACTCCAGAATAGCATAAATGCATTACAGTGGTACACAGAATTATTAACTGCATGTAGTAATAGAGCAACATATTAATACTACTAGCAAGTAACATTCATTAGTAAGTACTGCAAGGTAAGAAGGATACAAACCTTTCATTAAACAAATGGTGAACACCCATAAGAAAAAATTACCACAAACTGTATTTTCTGCCTTGGGAGGCTAGTTACACAGAAACCAGGACCTTCCTTCTGGGAAAAACAGCAGAGATTGGCCTAAAATATGCTGAGTTAGTGCATCCAACGATATTCAGCCAGTGCTCCTCATTTTTTTGGGTTAGGTCCTACAACTCCAGAGGAAATCTCTACCATTGTCAAAATACCTCATGCAGTTGTGGGATGGGACATATCTGCACTATTATCACCTGCTTCTACTGTATTTTTTGGCATCAATGGTATTGACCCCAAGCACTCAGCAGGGCATGAATCTTTATTTCAGCTTTTTAAGTAAATCTTTTTAGAAGACTGTTCCTCTGTTACTTTAAAGATGCATGTGGGTGAAAGATAAACTGTGATCCAAAGAAATATTACTCCAAACTAGATTTGCATGTACAATTAAGTAGACTCTCAAGTTACTTCATCTTCACACTTCCACTGAAGATAAGCCAAATTCTCTTAAGCAGGGTACTCTGAGTGCTACTTATTTTCCAAATTACAGGACAACAAGCTTGCCTCCCTAATGAGCCAGGCTTTGATCTCCAGGAAAATGAAGCATTACTAATAACACCACATGTAATATTACATTGTATTTAACTCCAGATGAGAGCAAATCCAGTGGAAAGCAGAGCACAATAAACCCTGTTATATACTGTCTGCTAGAGCTGCCCTGGTCAGGTCTTTCAAGGGGAATTTACTGAGAGACAAATGAAAAATATAAACAGTTCAAAGAGACAGATTTAGCCCTAGGTGACTGTGAAATGCAGGCTCAATTGAGGGTCTACAAGGAGCTTGAGAGAGCCCAGAGAGATGGCAGCCGCAAGACCTACCTGTGATAAAGGCATACGCTGCTAGGATGTTGCTGAGCAGTGCCATCTCTGTGCTGACACCCACAGGCTCCATGCTGCTGTTGAGTGCTGGCAGTTGTGTCTCATCCACAGGAAGCAGGAAGGGGCTGTTGTCTAGAGAGTAGAAGGTGGCCGATCTCCCTTTCTTCTTCTCTGCTTGAAACAGAAAGGGAATAAGGAACAAGGCACCAGTCCTATCCTGCCCTATTCCCACCAGGTCAGCATCTGCATTCATAAATCTGGAGCCGCTCAACAGCATGCCTCCCAAATTTGCCCCTTTTTGGGGGTGACTAAACCTTCTCAGGTAGCTTCAGCTGAGCACATACCCGGTCTGCATCCAGGCAGCATCTTCTCTTCCCTGTCTCCTGCTCTTTCATGTCACCACTTAGACACACCCACCTACACTACAGCAAATATATAATCAGGTTTCTCTTCTCTTATGTAAATCAAAGGAGCCTTTATCACCAGTGGGTTCAGCTAGGCTTGTAATCAGGACTAGAAAACACAGGCAGAGCCTGCTACCCTCTGCCAGTGTCACACTGTAGTGATCCATCCACACCTGGCAAACAGACGTGCTTTCTCTCCAGCCTTTGCAGGGAAGGGCAGACCTGAGTTTATGACTTCCTTCAGAAGCCTGCTCGTATTGTGTTTCACCCAGACACCATTTCCTCTTTTGAGAGGTGAGTGAACATGGGTTAATGATTTGATTTTATTTGCTGAAGACTGGAGCTAAGGAGGCAGCTAATTCCAGGAGGCTCAAAGAGACCCTTTCAGATCTTATCAACTCACTGTTGAGTGCTCCCTGAACCTTGGTCTGCAGGCAGACACCCCCACTAGTCACAAAACACTAATTGTTTTAAACACATGAAAAAGTCAGCGCACAGGATCCAGCTCCATCACCCATGTGATAGTTTAACTGTAGCTATTACAGTTTTAGAGGTTCCCTTCCCTGGGTGTCTGGTTCTGGCCAAAAGCAAGCATCGCACTGTAAAATCATAGACTGGCACCTGGCTTTCACTTATCTGCAGGGATTAAATTCAGGGAACTGTCAGATCCATTTCTGATGATGCCATCAGCACCATGCAAGCGAAGGCACTCTGACAGCAGCCACAACACAAGAGGGTCTGTGCTCACTAGCTCCCTCACCCATCTCCTGTCCCTGCAAACCCAGCAGCATAAGACATCATGTTCAACTTCCTACTGTGCACGCTAGGAAGCGGTTCAGTCCAGCAAAGCAGCAACAGAAACTGAGGAGTGTCAAACAGGTAATACTGGATGGAAAGGGACTGAGTGCATGCCAACTTCTAATCTGCCTTGGAGGAGAAGCAGTGGGGATGGATGTTCAGGTGTCACTGAAAGGGATCAGCCTCAAGGGATTATGGGCACGGTTGTATCTTTGCCACTGAGTAGCTGCATTGCCTTGGGAAAGACACACGTTACAAGCTACCGAGGTGTTAATGACTGCCCCTGAAGCAAAGTTTTTAAACATGGCTCTCTAGGTGGCAGATCCAAAAGGGAAAAATATCCCAAGAACCTCTTGCCTTAGGAGAACAGAGATCAGTTATATGAATGGAGGCACTGGAGCACAGAGGATCAAGGGCACATTCAGCAGGAAACCAATAGCAAAGTTTTGGATAATCTTTTAATTCAGATGTAGGCACCAACATGCCCTCTAATCTCTCCTTTAGTCTCCCTATCTGGTAAATCTATGTCTGTACAAATGGTTGGATTTTTCTCTACGACTCATCCTGCAAAGAAATCCATAGAAACAGATTTTTAATTTCTAAAATATGAACCTAAAACCTGGATACTTCACAGCATCTCAAGTAGCACTATGCACCTAAACTGAATCCTGCTATTAGCTGACAGATCCTTGAGAGTCATTCAGCTCTCCCTATATCAGACACTTAAATCTTGTTGTATTTGCTCATACGCAGACCTCTAAGATACACCAGGGTCAGGAGCATATCCCTGCAGAGATGGCAGGTATGAGAAGGGATGTAGGGGAAACTCTCACTCTTCTAGAGCAGCATCTAGAAACCAGGTGAACACCCCAGGTCATCTCAAATGCCACATTTATATGGGGGCAACCGAATACTGCCTGAGTTGTCCACATACTAAGATCTGGCTCTGAACTGGTTAATCTAAAATCCCTTTACAATTAATGAAAATGAAGGGCACCACCAGGACATAATCTCATATGTATTTCATAACCATATATCTCATCGTACAGAGGACTTCTGGGTTAGGTGGCTCCAGGCTCCTGCTAGGCCTTTGAGAGTTTTCTACAGTTCTACATTGAAGTCCAGAGCTGCTAGGATATGAACATGGGGCCCTTGTGCCATGCTCTCTCACATGCCCACGTCTGCACTGCTGGCAACCCACCTGCCCCTCACTGTCAATACATTCTTGGTATTTGGACTAAGGTTTGAACTAAATTTGCAGTGTGGGCTTCCATGTGCGTGTGCTAGATCAGCCAGGAGAGGCACAGACAGACACCACTTCTGCTAGGTATGGGGCATACCTTGTAAACCATGCCGTGCAATAAAGGTGCATTTAGGAAATAGAATAAGGCACAACTCCTCTCATGAGAAATGTAAAAGAATCTTCCTTTTTTTTTTACTTCTGACTTACCCAAAGAACAGATGTAATCAAACAAGTTTTTAAATGAATAGTTGTCTGCATATACTATACTCCAGCAAAGAGCACCACAAAACCACATAACTGGTTTTGTCATCTGCAGGATTGTACAAGCACAGACAGGGGAGACAGAAAATGACTGGAGTTATGCAGGATGGAAAAAACAAACAAACATAATTTCACAAAGGCCATGTCTTGCTACACTGTGCGGTTCCCTGGTCTGCCATTCATTCCGGGATTATATTAAAAGACATCCCCTGTCCTCCTTGCTACCTTTGAAGACCTTGTCTCTGCCCAATCAGCTCACCTACTACTGGTTTTCCCTTCACCACTCTTTCTCAGCCAGTGATCACCTAGTCACTCAAACTGTTTCCCAGTGACTATACACCAAGCTGATCAAAACTATTTCAACCAGCAGTAAATCTGCCCAGCACCACAGTATAAGCATAGGAGAGGTTATTCGCGATACCAAGCTGACTTTAGCAAGTAGTTTTAATAAAGGAAAGAAAATGGGGAGGGAGATTACAGAAATGTCCAAATATTTCCTTTTGCTACTTTTGAAACATTCTTTCAGCTTTTAATTTCAAAATGACAACTTTGTTTGAAAAGTGGTGCATATTTTAAAAATTAATGAATAAACCATGTGAAAACTAAACAAAAAGTGTCATTTGTAGAAGTGAAATGTTTAGGTGAGTGATAATGAGTTCAGGGTTTTTTTTTTTTGCTTGCTTGAAAGAACTCCCCAGGATCACAAAATTCATCTGGGGCTAACTCAAAATTCTTTCTTTGACAGTTTTTCAGTAAGGCCTCCAAACTGACAAATCTGTTATTGCCAACTCTTAATTCTCTGTGGATTGACTATCCAAGCTGTGGATTAATTTAGCCAGGAGTGCAGACAGGGAGGAGAGGTAGCTCCGCCCAGACCCACCCTAGAGCTGAATCTCTGGGAGCACAGGCTGGGAATTTCAGAAATAATGTTGTATACTATCCATGGTGTGTTGGGAAACACAAAGCAAAACTACTCATTAACTGAATACGTGCTCACCTGAACTTCTCCTTTCTTCATACACCACCTCTTCCTCCTACTCACCCATCCCTATAGATAGCTAAGATTTGACTTCATACATATTTTGATTTTGCATTTTATTAAAATAGCATCATATTTCAAAGGTGAAAACTTCTCTATCCCCTATGAGGCAGATCTACTGTGTCTGCCTTTTTTGTTTTTTTCTTTGCCACTGTATAAGACAGGTCTGCAAAGTATTTCTGTGATGAACTTTGACGTGCATGGCCATGACTGCTATTTCAAGAAATCCAACATGAGCTTCACAACAGTTCACTTTAGTCCATCACTGGTCATGCCTTGAAGCTTCTCTTTCTGCCTGTGACACGGATGGGGTTTGGGAACAATATGGAAACCCAGATAAGGGGAGACAGAAAGGAAGAGTGAGCACGACACAGTTACGTTTGGGCCAACATTGCAATAGTCATAGCTACCTGGGATGGCTCGCCCTATGTTGGAAGGAGAGACATCAGAAAAGAACACACCGTCCCTTATAACATTGGGATCAAACACTCTTGGCTGCAGTGGAAAATGTGGCTTCTGAAATCCTTGGTAATTGGTTGGTCGTGGCTGGGTTTCGTGCAGAAGCTTCTTGGGAACTGAAAGAAAGGAGTGAGTAGAGCACAGTTGTTAGAGTGAATTATTTCAGCTGGTCAGAATAAGGATCACCACATTATGCTATGGGCTCAGGTGATGCTTAATTATACCACGTGCAGACCAAACAGACACTCATTTACTACTACTATGAATGCTCTCCAAATGCCAGCACAGAGACATTCAGTGAGAGAATGCTGGAAACTATAGAGTGATTAAGATACTCTTTATTTACAATTAAGCTTTGAGACTAGACTAAGGATCAGATTTGGACATCCAGGCTTTGGCCTCAGCCCTAAGCTTCAGAGCTCAGCCTCTGTTCTCCCACGACAGCAGGTTGCGCAGGATTTCCCGTAACAGTGGGGACTATCTGGTATGCCTGAATCGCTGCCTCTCTCTGGCCATCAAGGTGCTGGCATAAGATGACACATCAGAAGTTTCTGTCCGCTCCAGATTCACAAAACTGGCCTCCGGAGAATGGTGTTCATGTGAAATCATAAAGTTTAAATCATCCACCACAGAAGTAAGAAACCCTTCCCACCCTGTGGGATCCAAAATACGCTGTTCCCCATTGTGCTTTAGGCTTCAAGTAAGCTGATAAAAGTCCATCCTGAGAAGGGTGAAGACTCAGTCAGTCCCTACTGCTCTCCATGTTTTGTCAGCCACAGAATTAGCAATACACAGGTGAGATAGGTTAATGCGTGACAGTTTGACCATCTACAGGCTCTTCTTTGGACTAAAGCATGCCTTAAGAAGAAGAGTATTTTCTCCTCCTTGACGTTGCAAGGCCAGCTCTTCAGCTGTACAGCCAGGTAAAGAAATCAAAGCCACTGTAGCCACCACACTGTACACCCACTGAAGGTAAATACACACAGTAAATTCACTAAATTGCCCTGTAGGGACAAAGCAGCATGTCATTTACAGAGCTAAACCAGTTCTCTGCCTTAGCCACAGCCAACACCTGAGGCTATTTCAGAGCAAAGTGCTTTTCCATACAAAGAGAAGAAAGACATATACAGGCCATTCTGCTCAGAAATTAGAGCAGCAGAATGATGAAAGACAAAAAGAAAGAAATGATGATTTCCAGAGGAGAAAGATATATTTCCCTGTCAGTGACTGTACAGTAATATATACATAAAAGCACCATTTTGTCCCTGCAGACAACCAAGACTTTAGTGTATTAAAGACACAGACTATTGAGAACTATGCACAAGTTTCCTAGACCCAGAGAAACCCCAAGAAAAGATTTCTGGGATGGTCAGGTCTCCTTTCTCCAAGTCTAACGGCAACTGCCTCTCTGTTCCCAAGCAGGATACCACCTCCTAGTGCCTCGGTTTCCCCACTGCTCCCTTGCCAATCGTAGTATCTCTCATCTTCACTCTTCATAGGGGCATGAAGAAGTATAATTAAAAATGCAAAGCACTTTGAGATCCTTGGCACAGGCATGAAGGAAAGACTTGGAAAGAGTGCAGCCCTGGAACAGAAAGGAAATTCCTGCCTGCCCCCCTGCACCTCATCAGCTGCCAAGCTGGAGCATAAGATTTAATCACGCCCATTAAATTTGCCTGCATAACTACAAATATTACTGGTGGGTGAAGTGATCCAACCACCTTGTTTACATTGTGTTCTACTTACTGTCTTTGCTGAGGCAAAGAAAATTGTAACTGTATTTATTGACTGACCTCCTATATTAGGCTGCCAAGAGATCAGCACTGAAGTTCTTGCATTAGTAGAGTCATGCTAGGTCAGGAAACAGACATAAAGCCCCACAGCTTCTGAATATCAAAGAGCTGGCACAGCAGTTTCTAGTGAAACCTGAATTGGCAACTGTCCTCTGATAGGAAGGCAGCAAAAGAAACACATGCCCTGGTAGGAACTAGACAGAAGCAAGGGAGATACCTGTGCCAGAGAAATATCAGAAAGTCTGGGGAGGAAACGGGTAGAACAGAGATTACCCTGATAACCACACGGTCACAAAGAATTGCAGTGCTAGGTGCCTAATCTGTGGCACCCAAAGGGACCAGAAGTCATGGGGCTCAGCACCCTCCAAAAGTAACAATCCTTTGTGCTGTATCTCAGGCTGATGACCTGAGAGGCATTTAAAACACACAAGTCGGTTTTCCCTTACACACTTTTCACCCAGCTGCATCCTGGTAACATGCTGATATGCATCCAGTGAAGAAAAGGAAGCAAAAGAGACACAGAGACAATCTTTTTAGCAAATTGTGATTAGTCTTTCATGTTTCAGACTGACTCTTCTTCATAAACATCTCCTTTCACCTCCCAACATGCATGTGTATCTCTGAGGCAAAACACAGGCTGGCGAGAACTACACCTTTCTTCGACACCACCACCACATTTCATTGAGGCTATTTTTTGTCACAGCACCTTAATGGGGTAGGGTTGTGATGTTATCCCTTTGGGATGGCTGAGGAAGTAAGATGACTACCAAGCAGGCATTTGGTGCCTAAAAACACTGGTGGCTACCAAGAGAGCATGTGCTTAATGACGATGATTAGCACACACTTTGGTACTTACAGAAATCCTGAAGTGACTGCCTTCACTTCAGCAACTAAATCCCTTTAAAACTCTGGAAGCATCTTAGTGCAACACAGGATGTCCACAGCACATGAATGTAGAACTTTTCCATTTCAAGGGACCATTTTTCTCTGTGGACTGCATAAACATCTTGAGCACATTTTGCCAGGAAAGGCCTTTCTTGGCAAAGAGTAAATAGAGTAAGAGCATGCTGCAAGTCTGTTCTTTTTCTAGTTTATATGACGCTAAACCAATACACGGCTTAGATGGCTTGATTTAGAAAGAATGTGAAATGGAAAGGCTTTCTCAAGTGCAAGACATCTCACAATTTCCAGCTAGCTTCTGTGTGGCAGCCAGCTCCACAAGAAAGATTAAACATCTGGTTCCTTTGAAACACCCTCCTTAAATTCTCCAGAGGGGAGCGCATCTGACACAAAGCATGGCATGAACTGAAGCAAGGTGTCAAGAGAAGTTATTTATGATTAAAACCACCAGAAAAAACAGTACCTGGGATTTTAATCTTATCTCAGTATTAAGCACGGAAATCCTGACAGGGAAAGGTTGGCACTTGGCCTGCTCCATTCAATCAGGCTGGGAAGTTAAAGAACTCAGTCAGTAGAACAAGTGATATATGTAGACATGAGGGGAAGAAAAAGGGCCTTCAATCAAAGTGTTAACACACCTGATAGTCAGGAGCCCTGCACCTTAAAATGCACATGAGGAACGAGCTGGGATCATCTGGAAGAGAGGAGATGAGATGTTCCAGTAACCTCTGGGGACCTGTGGTCTCTCAGGAGGTAGAAGTCAGCACTGAGACGTGGGTATTTATCCAGATGATAAAATTCTCCAGTAAACTGGGCTGGCCAGCTGAGCAGCGCATACAGAGGAGTAACTTTCTTAACAGCAAGCCATGGTCTGCCATCCAGCCTTGGGTTCAACTCGGGCAACATCACCATGTGAGCCAGGACTTGATCTGGAGAGAAAAGTGACCATTGCTGTGTCACTCTGCAAAGACACCTGCAGAAAGTGGTTCTAGGTTATAAACCTGAAAGGGAGCTTTTGGATCAGCAGGTTCATTCCTCTGCCATTACAGGCTTTCAAGTCTTGATATAATCTCTCCACGCCTGTTTTACAAGCGGTCCCAGTTACCAGCACCGACTGCTCATCTGTCTAAATCCACATCATGCTAGCAACAATTTATACCAGTTCCCAAGACCCACAATACCCATCTGCAATGAATTAATGGTATCCATCTCACAACAAAACCTCACACCACTGCCTACCAGCTTCCCCCCCTGCAGGAGCAGGTTCAGTGGAAAACCAAAGCTGAAGTGTGCTCTCACTGGCAGAGCAGACCCATCAGATTCAGCTACAAGCAACTGGCAGGAGAGCATGAAAAGGCACATGCTGATGCTGCTGACAGTGTCCTTATTTGTACTTGGTGGAGACTCCTTCTGCTGGGGTTTTCACACAAGCACTCTCTTGTGTGGCCAGAAATCTGAGGGCTGAGGAAAAGAAAAGGTTACTGTGCCTACAAGCAGCAGAATTCTGAATTACAGTGCCAAGAGCTGGAAAAGACTAGCCAATACCTCACCTCTTCTTCGAGACAACTTGCTGTGTTTTCTACTGTTTCGATCTACCTAGTTTTAAACACTCCAGTCCTGGGGGTTCAGCCAATTGCCATAAAGGATTGTTTTGCAGCGGAATATTGTCTGTCTGAGAAATTCTTTTCCAATATGCTGCTGTTTTAATTTAAGCATATATATCACTGCCCTAATCAAAACATTTGACTGCTATAGCCCCTAAATTTTACAGACAGGGATTTGGCTCAGAGGCAGAGTTTTGAAAGTTTTTAAATACCCGAATGATTTGTCCAATCTCACAGAGGGAGTCTATGCCAAAGAAAGGAAACAAACTCAGGATCTCTATATTTCAGCCTTGCACTCAAACCATCCCTTCTCTGCTAATTTGATCATTTGGTGTTTCCTGATGTTTGCTCAGTCCTAAACATGCTTAAAGACTTCCACTCCCAGGAAGCAATTATCCTCTGACCTCCATCTTCACTGTATATACAGATCAGTCAACTGGAGGGGAGATCAATGAAAGCTCAGTCTTAAAAACATACAGACAGGGGGGTTGTAATTCTCCAGTCCTCTGCTATATATTTGCTTGTGCATTTTCAGCCCATAAAGTTTATTCTGAAAGTTCCGTATGATTAAAGCAGATCTGCAGGACCTTCAGCAAATCCTCCTGTGAGAGCTTGAAGCAGAGTACTATTTGAGCAAAACATGACTCCCTCACCAACGAGGCTTTTTATCTGGGCAGGTTGAGGCCAGGAACTGTTGATGCTCAATGTATTTTTAAAATAATAATAAAAAAGCCCTCCTGTGAGTAAACACCCAACATAAACTGCTGCAGGCTTTAGGGGTAGCAGCTCTGAAGGATTTGTGTTTGAGATTTGAAAATG